TTAGGGCTTGACCATAAGTAAAACTTTAAAAAATGTTTTAGGGGTGCCTGGGTGGCTCAGTCAGTTAAGCTTCAGACTCTTGATTTTGGCTTGGGTTATGATCTCAGGCTTTGTGAGATTGAGCCCCAAGTCGGGCTTTGTGCTGGGGTGGAGCCTACTTGGGAGTGTCTCTCTCCCTTTCCCTCTGCCCCTCCTGTGCTCATGCTCTCTCACTCTCTCTCTCTCAAAAATAAATAAAAATAAAAATGTTTTAAAGAAAATAAAAAGTCTTGGCAGAAAAATGCTTTTGACTAATGTCTACCTCCTGAAGTTCTGAACTTTTCATTCACAGTTTTATAAAATAGCCTGGTAATAAATTTGGTGCCTGGCAAGCAGAAGGGATTTTCATTGATCTTTGGCCGAATATTTTTCCTTAAACTGCCAGAAAGGGCTGATTAGAAAGAGAGAATAAAGTGTTAGCAAGAAAATGATTGAAATCAGGAAATGCAATCAGGGAAAGATTGCATAGGAAGAAGGATCAATGGAGTCTCCAGTGAGGTAGAAAGAGACTTGTGGAAACAGCGGGTAGGACAAACAGAACAGATAGGAGGTTGAGGTCATGATGTGAGATGTATGAGCTGATGCTTTTGGAAGTGATGATATGTTCCATTCCATGACTGGAGAAAGGAGGCTCTGGTGACGTGGGAGAGAAGGTGCCCAGATAAAATCAAGGAACTGAGATGTGAAGGTGTTGGGATGAGTTATCTATTTGTTCGATGAAATTACCCAAAATGGTAGTAAAAATCAGGGCAGGGAGGAATAATGCATGCCAACAGCAAAGTCACCAATGAATGAGGAGGAGTGTTCAGGAAGGTAATAGAGAATGGGAGGTGTGGCAGAGCTAAATGATGTGAGATTTTTCAAATTTTTTTTAACGTTTATTTATTTTTGAGACAGAGAGAGACAGAGCATGAACGGGGGAGGGTCAGAGAGAGAGGGAGACACAGAATCCGAAGCAGGTCCCAGGCTCCGAGCTGTCAGCACAGAGCCCGACGCGGGGCTCGAACTCACGGACCGTGAGATCATGACCTGAGCCAAAGTCGGAGGCTTAACCAACTGAGCCACCCAGGGGCCCCGAGATTTTTCAATTTTTAAAACTATTTATTTGTTTATTTGTTTCTATTTTTATTAATTTCTTTTTTTTTTTTTAAGTTTATTTATTGGAGTGCCTGGGTGACTCCGTTGGTTAAGCATCCAACTCTTGCTTTTGGCTCTGGTCATGATCTCACGCTTCGTGAGCTCGAGACCTGCATGGGTTCTGTGATAACAGTGTGGAGCCTGCTTGATGTTCTCTCTCTCTCTCTGGCCCTCCCCATCCCCCCCCCCAATAAATAAATAATCTTTTAAAAAAAGAAAGTTTATTTATTTATTTTGAGAGAAAGAGTGTGTGTGGGCACACCTGCATGTCCAAGTAGGGGAGAACGACTGAGCCACCGAGGTGCCCCGATGTGAATATTTAAAGGGAGAGCACATTGGAACAAGAATATCTCTTACATTTACCCCCATTCAGAGGTTTGTGCAGTGTGAGATATAAGCTTCTCCAGTTATGAGGCTCTAGCCTCATGTTGCCTTCAGGGGAAAACCAGATTTCATTTTCTGCAAGGTAATAGAACATGCTTTTTTTTTTTTTTTTTTTGAGAGAGAAAGAGTAGAGGAGGGGTAGAGGGAGAGGGAGAGAACTTAAGGGAATCTTAAGCAAGCTCTATGCCTAGCTTGGAGCCTGGTGGGGAGCTTGATCTCACAACCTTGTGATCATGACCTGAACTGAAATCAAGAATCGGGACACTTAACCGACTGAGCCACCCAGGAGCTTCTTGCACCTTGCATTTATTGATTGATTGATTGATTGATTTCATTTTGGGGTGTCTAGGTGGCTCACTGGGTCAGACGTCGGACTCTTGATTTTGGCTCCGGTTGTGAACTCATTGTTTGTGGGATTGAGCCCCACACTGAAGTGTGGAGCCTGCTTGGGATTCTCTCTCTCACTCTGTCTGCTCCTCCCTTGCTTGTTTTCTCACTCTCAAAATAAATAAATAAACTTAAAAAAGTAGATTTTATTTTATTTTTTTTTCTTTCAACGTTTTTATTTATTTTTGGGACAGAGAGAGACAGAGCATGAACGGGGGAGGGGCAGAGAGAGAGGGAGACACAGAATCGGAAACAGGCTCCAGGCTCCGAGCCATCAGCCCAGAGCCCGACGTGGGGCTCGAACTCACGGACTGCGAGGTCGTGACCTGGCTGAAGTCGGACGCTTAACCGACTGCGCCACCCAGGCGCCCCTAGATTTTATTTTTAAATAATCTCTACACCTAACACGGACCTCGAACTCACAACCCCAAGATCAAGAGTTGCACACTGCGCCTACTGAGCCAGCCAGACACCTCAAGAATAGAGCATGCCTTATAAAAAGATGACTAGGGGCGCCTGGCTGGCTCAGTTGCTACAGCATGCAACTCTTGGTCTTGGGGTCCTAAGTTTGAGCCCCACATTGGGTGTAGAGTTTACTTAAAAAAATGAATAAAAAGAAGTTGAGGCAAAGTCACAGGAAAAATTGCTAATCCCAGAGGGGGAATTCCAGAGGACTCCTTGGAGGGATGGAAAGGAAGGTGGGGGACTCCATGGTTATATTAGAAGATGTGTTACAGAGTTACAGAGCAGTGTGTGGACGACCACTTGTTAGGTGATAGCTGACCAGCAGAACTTACACTTTGAGTGATGGCCAAAACAAAGCAGAATGTGATGCATGTGGCATTTAGTTCTGAGAGGCACTTCTAAGAGAGTCGGCCATCTGGCAGTACAGATTAAACTATGGTTGGAAGTGAAGACCAGTAGGTGGAGATGGGGTCTCTGGTTTCCTGTGGTTAGCTGGTGTGGGTAGATGCAGGGAGAGTAGCTGTGGAATATAGCCAGTCTTGCTTTTTCTGGCATTGGCTGGGGTATCTCAAGGAAAATGTACATACGGTTTATGTGTTCATGGTGTTATGTACCTTTTACCATATTCTTATCTATCATTTCTCTCTCTCTCTCTCTCTCTCTCTCTACCTATCTACTATCATCTACGTATTTATTTTGACATTTTTTAAAGTATTGTTTTTAATTTAAGTAATTGCTACACCCAATATGGGGTTTGAACTAATGACCCCAAGATCAAGAGTCACATGCTTCTCCAACTGAGCCAGCCAGGTGCCCCTCACTTACCATAATTAAAAAAAAAAAAATGTATCATTCCACTGACAATGGACTAGCAAAAAGGTGCTGTACTTCCAGAAGACGATTGGGGAATATCTATCATAAATATTTAAAAATATACATTCGGGGCGCCTGGGTGGCTCAGTCGGTTGGGTGTCTGACTTAGGCTCAGGTCATGATCTCATGGTTCATGGGTTTGAGCCCCGCGTCAGTCTCTGTGTTGACAGCTCAGAGCCTGGAGTCTGTTTTGTGGATTCTGTCTCCCTCTCTCTCTGACCCTGCCCAGCTCATACTCTGTCTCTGTCTCTCTCTCTCTCAAAAATAAATAAAACATTGAAAAAAAATTTTTTAAATAAAAATATACATTCCAGGGTACATAGGTGGCTCAGTCAGGTAAGCATCCAACTCTTTTTTTGTTTGTTTTTAAATGTTTATGTATTTATTTTGAGATGGGGGGTGAATGGAGGAGGGGCAGAGGCGGGGGGGGGGAGGGGAGAATCACAAGTAGGCTCTGCACCATTATTCCAGAGCCAGACTCGGGGCTCAATCCCACAAACATGAGACCATGACATGATCTGAGCTAAAACCAAGAGTTAGATGCTTAACTGATTGAGCCAGCCAGGTGCCACAAGCACCCGGCCCTTTTTTTTTTTTTTTAAGTTTATTTATTTATTTTTGAGAGAGAAGAGAGAGAGAGAGAGGGAGCAAGGGAGGAGCAGAGAGAGGTACAGAATCCCAAGCAGGCTCTGTGCTGAGCCTGTCATCTCAGCTGAAACACACAAACCTGTGAGATCATGACCTGATCCAAAAACCAAGTCATACACTTAACCCATTGAGCCACCCAGGCGCCCCCTTCCAATTCTTGATCTCAGCTCAGGTCTTGATCTCAGGGTTGTGAGTTCAAGCCCCACATTAGGCTCCAAGCTGTTCATGAGGCTTACTAAACAATAATAATAAAATTTAATTTAATTTAATTTAATTTAAAATATACATTCAAAAGACTGGGAAAACTTATATGTCTATCAATAAGAACTAGTTAAATAAGACATGATTTGTCCATACAGAGAAATATACCATACGGGTATTAAAAAATAAAAAAAGAAGGGCCACCTGGGTGGCTCAGAGGGCTGAGTGTCTGACTTTGGCTCAGATCATGATCACACATTTTGTGAGCTGGAGCCTTGCATTGGGCTCTCTACTCTCAGCCCCAAAGCCTGCTTTGGATCCTCTGTCAGCTTCTCGCTCTGCCCCCTCTCATTCACACATGCATGCACACACTCTCTCTCTCTCTCTCTCAAAAATAAATAAACACTTAAAAAAATTATTAAAACATAGGGGCGCCTAGGTGGCCGACTTCAGCTCTTTTGGTTTCGTGGTCTGTGAGTTCGAGCCCCACGTGGGGCTCTGTGCTGACAGCTCGGAGCCTGGAGCCTGCTTCCGACTCTGTGTCTCCCTCTCTCTCTGCCCCTCCCTTGCTTGCTCTCTCTCTCTCTCTTTCTCTCTCAAAAATAATAAACATTAAAAAAATTTTTTTAATAATGAAAAAATAAAAAAATAAGAAAACAGTTCTATATACATTTATCTGGGCTGCTAGATTTAAAAAAGAGAAGCAGATGTTTATTTCGTTTGCATATGTGTGCAGCCTCTGGGTAGACACAAGAAACAGCTAAGTATGGTGGCCTTTGGGAAGACGAAATGTGAGGCTAGGCTTGGCAGACTGATTGGATGCTTACTGAAAAGCCATTCTCCCCTATTTCTTCCTTTGCTGACAGAGCCCACATTTTGCTCAGATGTGACTTCAGGAGAAAAGGATTTCTTCAGCCCCAAGAGGTAAATATTGATTGGCATAAGCCAATTATGGTACTTATTCTCCCTGGTAGTGATTGTTTTAGGCATGTCTATGTGACAAAATACTGGCCAATGAAACAAAAGTAGTATATTAGGGGCTTCTGAGTTTTGTTACTGATTAGGAAGAGACTAGAGGGTAAACTCCTTTTTAGGATTTTTAGGTAAAGTTGGGAAATGTCCTGATTCTTTGAGTTGTCGCAGCAATCTTGAGACCATGAAGGAAACCTAAGAGAATTGCAGATCAGGAACTCTGGTATCATTGAATTGCTGAGTTTATTAGCCCGGAATCACTTATCTCTGGATCTCTTGTTAAGTCAGAAAATGCACTGTTTATTGTTTAAGCCACTTTTAGTGGTAGCCAGGAGCATCTTTAGTACAAACATTGGACAACAGAGGTAGTGATTAGAGAACAAAGGCAAAAGAAAAATAATTAAACTTCCTTAAATTCACAGCCCATTGACAGGTCCTTGAGACAGGCAGAGTGACCTTCCTCAAGAAACTCAACTCCCCTGATGTTAATACTTTGCTAAAGGCGAAAGGGAACTTAGCTTGACATTAGCCCAACCTCCAGGATCTTGTCTTTTTTTTTTTTTTTCTTTTAATGCTCATGTATTTGGAGAGAGAGAGAGAGCTCCTGCACATGTGTGTGAGTGGGAGAAAGGCAGAAAGAGAGGGAGAGAGAGAATCCCAAGCAGGCTCCACGCTGTCAGCACAGAGCCCAACTGGGGGCTCAGTCACAAGAACTGCGAGACCATGACCTGAGCTGAAATCATGGGTCCAACCAATGGAGCCACCCAGGCACCCCTGTAAGTCTGTAACATATAAAAACCCCTTTGGAAACTTCCTTTATTTCTACCCTCCAAGATACAGGTTAACAAGCATCCTCCAAGCATATGGCCCACTGATATACACCTGAAGGGTCTCATGACTAATGTTTTACTAGACAGTAGTAAATGACCTTTTCCTAACAATAGTTGGACCACTCAGTGTCCTGAAAACCTTGATTCCAAATTCCTTAGTCTTAAGCTATCCCGAACCCCCTCCCAACTTGTGCAGTTCTTTCTGCCCATGGATCCTGTCCCTGTGCTTTAATAAAACCACCCTTTTTGCACCAGAGATGTCTCAAGAACTCTTTCTTGACTGTTTGCCCCTGGACCTCAACATTTCACATCAGTGGAAAGTTCATTACTTTTTTCCTCCTTTAATATCTTTTGTACTTCTTGAATTTTGTACCAATGGAATGTCTTAACTATGAAAAAAATGTCTTTCTTTTAAGTTTTTTGTTTTTTGTTTTTTGTTTGTTTTTTAATTTAAGTAATCTCTACACCCAGCGTGGGGCTGGAACTCATGATCCTGAGATCAAGAGTTACATGCTCTTCTGACTGAGCCAGCCATGCACCCCAAAAATGTCTTTAATTAAGTGCATTCCCTTTAATACAGAGTTTTAATGTTTATCACTATGAAAAATTGTATAAAAAATAGAACTACCCTACAACCCAGCAATTGCACTACCGGGTATTTATTCAAGGGATACAGGTATGCTGTTTTGAAGGGACACATGCACCCCAATGTTTATAGCAGCACTATCAACAATAGCCAAAGTATGGAAAGAGCCCAAATGTCCATCAATGGATGAATGGATAAAGAAGATTTGGTATGTATATACAATGGAGTGTTACTCGGCTTCACTCATATGAGGATTTTAAGACACAGAATAGATGAACACAAGGGAAGGGAAGCAAAAATAATCTAAAAACAGGGAGTGGGATGAAATGTAAGAGATTCTTAAATATGGAGAACAATCCCTACTGGAGGGATTGTGTGTGTGTGGGGGGGCTAAATGAGTAAGGGGCGTTAAGGAATTTACCCCCGAAATCATTGTTGCACTATATGCTGACTAACCTGGATGTAAATTTTAAAAAATAAAATAAAATAAAATAAATTTTTAATGTTTATTTTTGAGAGAGAGAGAGAGAGAGAGAGAGAGAGAGAGAGAGACAGTGTGAGTAGGAGAGGGGTAGAGAGAGACAGAGACACAGAATCCAAAGCAGGCTCCAGGCTCTGAGCTGTCAGCACAGGGCCTGTGCGCAGGGCTCGAATTCATGGAGTGTGAGATTATGACCCGAGCTGAGGTCGGACGCTTAACCGACTGAGCCACCCAGGCGCCCCACTAGGGGTATGATCTTAGCCACTTAAAGCTTCAGAATTGATCTGTAAAATGGGGTTAGTAAGAGTCCTTACTTAATAGCATCACTGTGGGAGTTAAAGGATTTATATAAAATGCAAAGTTTTGGGCATATAATTATTCCATACATGTAGCCATCTTGATTTAGGTTGAGCAAAATTCATACATTTGAACATCTCTAAAGATTACATCTTATAGCCTTATATAGTTAAAAATGTGTGATTTTTATTTGATATTAAAATTTTAAAATATTATTTTGAAGAGGAAAGAAAAATTAGACTACCAGGTGCAAAATAGAAGTATAAAATTTATTTAAAACCACCCACAAAGTTCCGTGTAATCAGGAATGATACAATTTGCAATAGTTTTTTTAAAAACTCATGACAAAGATTTAAAATATAATTTCAATTACAGTATTCATTTAGCCTTATTCAGTTAGAACACTTAATAAAAAAGAAACTTTATGCTCTAAATAAATGAGACACACAAGGAAAATATAATAGACAATTTCCACAACTATCTTTACATGTATGTTTCAATACTAGTACATTTCAATGCATTTTGCTACATAAACATGAAATCATGTACAACTGCTGTGCACCAAAATTTAGCTTAATTAGGTTCTTTCAAGTAACATGCAATTCCAACTCACAAGTCTTCAAGTACTGCTAATAAGTGTTCCCTTGTATGCAGAGCACTACATGTTGAACTGTAATCATCACAATTAAGATTATTTCTTTCCCTTCTGCATGGTGAAGTGCTTTTTCTTTAAACGGTTTCTCCCATATATTAAGAACCAAAACCAGATTTTGTAGAATTTTAAAATCTTTTTCTTATTAACTTATTTCATTGTATGGGATATTTAATACAGTAGGACTGCAATAGGTAAAAATAAATCCCCCTAAGCAAAAAATCAAAGGTACAAAATAAATAGTAAATATACCCTCAGAGGAGGAAAAGTCACCTAGAGACAGGAATATTAACTTGTGAAATTGATACTTCTTTATTGAAAGGTCAGTACTACTCTATTTCCCCAGGATGAAGTATCTGTGAATATTTCACTCCCACTATTGAGAAGCACTCATTCTTCTCCTTTGAACCAAAGTATTGATATGCACGTGAATCTACTTGGTAGGTCATCATATAACACAAGAGAAAATGAAGAAACTAGAAAGTAATGCTTTTCCTTCTGCCAAGTAGCTTTACAAATTTCTCTTCAGGGAACACTTCATGATTTCTTAGTAACTCAAAGATGACCATCCACCCATAGGTAACAATGCAAAAGCTGCCCTCCCCACCCCCCCCACCCCCCCTTTATTACTATAAAACCGTTTCTGGAAAAATATTTCTCTTAAAGCACCTATCACAATGTTATCTGTTATAGAAGTTTAAAAAAAAATGACCATACATAGTAATAAAAAATATTTAATCTTTGTTTTGCTTTTTTTTTAAGAGCTGTTTTTGTAAGGTCCTATGTTGTCAGCCATTTTAGAATATCACAAACAGGCATTAATTAGTGAGGATAGGCAGTTACTGAATCAAATCACCAAAAGTGGAATTTATTTTGACTATTTAGGGAAGTTTGGGTTTTTCATTAGCAACCCATAATGTACTGATGGAATAGGCAAAATATCCTACCTCTTTATTTTTATAAAGAACTTACTAAAAACTTTACAAATACATCTCGTTATTTTTCTTAACTCTCTGGGCAAAGGTATGTTTAAACTTTGACTAGAGACTTTATATGGCTGGAAACAAAGAGGAAGGAAAAACAAAACAAAACAAATTTAAATAAGTGGGAGACAGTACGATCTCTTAGAGATGTCAACAACTTTACATTTTTACTATGAGTACCTGAAAACTAAAAGAGTCAGTTTACTGAGCACATTCCCTTCTAGAAACCTGCACTTCAATATAACAAATACATTAAACTTTGATTATGAACTGCTGATCTTAGTCTTTTTAAAAGTAGTATTTTTTTAAGCAATTATTATTGAGGTTTCCCTTTGTTTTCGTAGCACAGGGACATTCCTTATTAAAAGGTTTATTTACAGGGGAAAAACTGAAACTTCATTAATCTAAGCCCTAATGCAAAAGTTCTGGGAATTTAGGGAGACCTTCCACAGTATGCATTAAAAAATCACTGGCTAAATAAATAGTGGAAACAAAATACGTCAGAAACATGTTTTGCATATGTTAAATAGGGTTTACATTATTCTTAGATCTGGTCTGACAAAATTTCTACCCACTAATACTAAGTCATTGTTTATGATGCCGAAATGCATTTATTTATTTTTGAGAGGGAGAGTGTGCACACAGAGAAGGGGCAGAGAGAATCCCAAGCAGGCTCCACACCACCAGCCTGGACCCCGATGTGGGGCTCGAACTCGTGACCTGTGAGATCACGCCCTAAGCCAAAGTCAGATGCTTAACTGACTGAGGCACCCAGATGCCCTGATGCAGAAATGCACTTAGCAGTCTGCAGATATGAAATGGTTTAGTCTCAGATGGGTTGACTTGGTGTATGACTTGGAGCAAGCCATTTGCTACTCTTGCCAATCAGCAGGTTCACCACCAGTAAGACGGGAACATTTGGACATCTGTCCAACCCTCAGTGTTGGGGAGAAAAAAATGAGCACATTGTAAAGCAGTTTGATAACCTAAAACTTTATAAAATACAGGGATTACAATTTTCTTACTACCATATTTGCATTCAAAATGGTTCCTCATTTTGAGCTATTTTTCACATAAAACTTATAGGGTGGGGAGGAGAGCTATTAATGAATTTTTGGCTGGG